GTAAGTCACGACTGGATGCTTAGAACGAAAGTGTTTTAAGTATTTGAATTAATTCAGTGTCAGTTAATTAAGACGCTAATATTTCTAAAAGTTTAAGTAAGCACCGAGTAGTAGTAGGCTAATGCTTAAAGCGCTGATGTTATGAAATTCCGACTTTCTACAGGTAGGAGTCAGTCGCGCACTCTTCAATGACCTCGTATAAGATTACCGGTACTTAGATGTATTTATTCTAACAGTCCTGTTGTTTTAATCTGTCATTTGATTTACATATATTAATTGTTTGCATGTCTTAAATCAATGTCACATACTATCACACTTTTACCCTATTAAATAGCCTAATTACTGATTTGACGTCGACTGACACAAACACAAAGACACAAGAGATCTGAGAGCAGAGTTTATTTCAAATGGATTTGTATATCCTTGCCATATGCAGAAATCTTATGGGTGGTGGCAAAGCAAAGACATAACATTTTTAAATGTATTTATTTAATGGTCTGTCATTGTCTTCGAGACTTTTGAATTGTGCTGTTCTTATATTATAGTAGACTAGTTCAAAAGTTTTTTTTGTTTGTTTGTTTGTTTTTGACAGAAGTTAATACATTTATTTTGCAAAGACCTAACCTAACCTAACCTAACCTGTTTTTCTGAACTTTCTATTAATGGAAGAATCCTGAAAAAAATGTATCACAGTTTCCATGATCATATTAAGCAGCACAACTGTTCAACATCATGGATGTTCAGAGGAAGTAATGAATGCTGCATATTCAAAATATATTAAAATATAAAACTGTTATTTTAAAATGTAATAGTAGGCTAATTAGCAATATTACTGTTTGTACTGTATTTTTATTTATTTATTTTTGACACAAGAATACAGCCTTGATGAGCATAAAAGACAAAATCTTATTGACTCCAAACTTTTGAACAGTGTGTGTGTGTGTGTGTATACATACATTACAGCTACATCTTGGATGCATCAATTGCTCTCAGCAGATTCTCTCCTCCAAAAATGGATCCTCCAATCTTGCAGATTGCACTTGATCACCTACATGTATTCTGGGCACGACAGAGAAGTCTTCCTCTTGTCTGGAAGACTTACAAAAAAGTACCTTGTCCTTTGTCGTTTCATCCTTCACATCCACACGTTGACTGGACCGCCGAATACAAAAGGGAAAGGTGGACATGCAGTTCTTCTGGAAGTTCTCATTCATGAAAGCATAAATAATAGGGTTGCTGAATGAATTAAAAAAACCTATGGCCTGGGCAACAGCAATAATCATATTGACTGTGATGTCATCATACGTCTTGTTCAGGTAACCTGGAGACAACAAAATGACGCTGAAATTTGAAAGAAGACACACTTTGAGACTGTAATGTGCACAGACATATTATCGGACACTTTGTTTTTCTTACTGTATTCAAACAGCATATGAACTGTATGAAAAGGTGCCCAGCAGACAGTAAACAGCACAACAATGGTGACCATCATCTTGATGGCCCTTCGCTTCTTTCTGTTGCATAAAGAGGAAGGATTGCATAATGAGTAATCATTAGCAGTTTTTAGTGTTCAGTTCCTTACACACTACCAGTCAAAAGTTTGGAATATTTTTTTTTTCTTTTTATGTTTTTGAAATAGTCTCTTATGCATTCATTTGATTACAAAATATGATTTAATTTAACTGTTTTCTTTTTGTTATATTTTAAAATGTAATTTAGTCCTGTGATGGCACAGCTGAATTTTAGCAGCCTTCAGTGTCACATGATCCTTCAGAAATCATTCTAATATGCTGATTTGCTGCTCATAAAACATTGCTTATAATTATCAATGTTGAAAACAATTGTCCTGCTTAATATTTCTGTGAAAACCATTATACTTTTTTCAGGATTCAGGATTTTTTTTCAAAATTTTTCTTTGATGAATAGAAAGTTCAAAAGAACGTTATTTGAAACAAATATTTTTTTGTAACATTAACATATAAAAAAATGTCTTTCCTGTTACTTTAGATCAATTTAATGTGTCCTTGCTTTTTATTCGTACTTACTCCAAACGAATGGTAATGTATCACAATTTCCAAAAAAAATATTAAGCAACAAAAATGGCTTTCAGCATTGATAAAAATTAGAAATGTTTCTTGAGCACCAAATTATCATGTTAGAATGATTTCTGAAGGATCAACTGAAACTGAAGACTGGAGTAATGCCTGTTGAAAATTCAACTTTGCCATCACAGAAATAAATTACATTAGTAAATACATAAAAATATAAAAGAGTTATTATTATTATTATTATTACAGTTATTATTGTAATTATATTTCACAATATTACAGTATTCACTGCAGCCTTTGTGAGCATAAGAGACGTCTTTCAAGAACATTACAAAATCTTAATCATTTCTAACTTTTAACTGTAGTGTATATTGTTAAGAAAACACTATAAAACTAGAAATAGCGGTTTAGAGTAGAGATTTAGATTTGATTCAAAAACAGCATGCGCTGAGAAAGGTAAAAAAAAAAAATGACCTGGATATTTTGCTGACCTCCCTTTGGTTCATGGCATTGAGCACTGAAGAGTCTCCAACTTGTTTGCGAATCCAGAGCTCAATACCAATTCTGGTGTAGAGTAGCAGCATGGCTGCAAGAGGTAGGAGGAAGAGGAACACTAGAATAAAAGTAGCATACTGCTTCCTGTGGGCACTTGAGCTCCAGCGCTCCAGACAACACACATGATGGAGATCATATAGAAAATCATATTTCACCTGCACACAGAAGGAAAGAACAGAGAGATTTGAAATAACGGATTAGGATATGGAAACCATTATCACTATAGCTGTAGCATATGAAATGGACCAATGTTGTTATGTTTATAATCTAATATATATATATATATATATATACTTTTTGCCTTGGACCAGAAGGCACCTGACAGCTTCTAACAAGCTAAATTGACGTGACATAGCCAAGTATGGTGTCCCATGAATTTGTGCTCTGCATTTAACACATCCAAGTGCACACACACAGCAGTGAGTAGTGAACACACACACAGTGAGCACACACCCGGAGCAGTAAACCCTGGGGAAATTTTCAAGTATACAGAACCCAGACTGCAAGCTAACTAATGTTTCGACAAGTTGGATGTGGATTTTTGAATGTTCTGAAAGCTTCAAATGGAATATTTCAGCCAAAAATCAGATTAGTACCTCTAAATGTTGAACAAAGAGCATTGGAGATCCAACCAGCATGGCTGCGATCCAGACAACCCCTAACAGAGAATGAAAACACTATTATCCAGATGCTTTATGCATAGATGTGGAATGCAAATTATGCATGATCTAATATTTCAAAAATGAATTAAATTTGAAATGGATACTCAAAAAGAAAACCTATGAAGGATATTGGTTGTCAGAAACTACTCACCCAGCATTCTGTATGCTCTTTGTGGAGTGCACTGTCTTTTTATTTTCAGAGGGTGTACAATCCCCTGGTACCTCTCCACAGCGATGCAGGTCATTGTGAGAATGCCAGTCACAATAGCAGTGGTCTGAACAAAAGGAACAGTTTTGCACACCAACACACCAACATACACGTAAATGTTTAAAGAGCAAACTTCCTGAGACAGTCTTTTGACAATGATAAGTTCAAAGAAAAGCCAAAAAGCCAACACAACCATTTGTCCAGTTATTTAAAAATACTTTGAGAACAACAGTTCATATAAAAAAATGAATTGCGTATCTCTTATCAATATGTTTTTAGTTTCTGAGCTATTGTGGGGTTTATTGTCAACATTTTTTAGATGGTTTAACTATTCAGAAATTGTTAAAATGATGTCTCATTAAAAGGAAAAAAAGGGGGGAAAAGTTTATATAAATACTTTGGATCTATCATTGTTATTATTTCCTTCGATTTTGTTTTAATATATTAATATTTGAAAAACATTTATCTGCCAAGTAGTCAAAAACAGTGAGGCATAATAAACACGCAGGAAGATATTTTGTTGTCCTGTGAAGAGTTTAGTCCCTAAATAAATAAATAATTACAACAACATATTGCAAGCGGACAGAACATGCATATCCTTGCGAACTCTTTTTTATTATAACAATGCTTTATAAGCGACACTCACCCCCGAACCATTCAGAAGAGATGTTCTGCAGCAGAGTGAATGGGATGCAGAAGAAAGATATCAGGAGGTCGCTGACGGCTAGAGAGCAGATGAAAATATTTGTGGCGGTCTGGATCCCACGCGTTCTTAAGACAATGTAGACAACTAGACTATTGCCAATGAGAGCCAGGAGAAAAATCACAGTGTACACAATAACAAATATAGTTTTGGCGCTGGCCGGTAACTCAGGGATGTAAACCAACGGCTGAATCTCATACGTTTTAATAAACTCCTGACGAGTAAGATTGTAAAACTGTAGTAGTTGCTCCAACACTTCGGGAGTAATTTTCGTATCCCCCATGTATAAAGCTTGTCTTTAAAAGCGGGACGAAAGAAATCAAAGTTTCACAAAGCGCAGGCTGGTGAGTCAGTACAGTATCCTGCTCTGCTGCCGTTCCGCGTCTCTTCACACTGAAGCAGCAGCAGCTCCCTTGATGCGGAGTAGCCTATTTTTTGTGACACATCATCGGCGGTGTGTCAAAACCTAAAGTGAGTCGTCTTCCCTAACCCTTTAGAGACGCCTATGACGCCCAAGCATGCTGTCTATGAAGGCAGTTTACTAAGTTTGGAGACAGCCATGTGCTCAGTAGAATCCATACATATTGTATAAAATGCCTGATCACTTGCACAATATAATCTCAAAAAAACATGCACACTTTTTTCACCTTTGCAGAAAACAAAAACAAAATATGAAACATAAAATGACGGACAAAGAATAAAAGTGGTAGATAAAAATAAAAGATTTATAATGTAGCTAATTCATATACTACTACTACTACATTCTTGAGATAATCTATTGAGATAATACCGTAATAATAATAATTATTATTATTAATTACCTCTCCACAGATAGTAATCTGTGATATAGTAATCCATAATTGATAATAATAATAATAATTATTATTATTATTATTA